CCTTGTGGATACAGAGAGAACTACCAGGCCACTTGAATGAGATCTGGCGTGTCTTGGGCCCTATGCAGTACTCATCCACACTAATGTGCTCAGCTCTGAGAACCGTCCAGGCCTGGCCCCCACTCACATCCGCCTCACCTCCATGTGCTTCCCTTTCTGTGTTTCCCCAAACTTGAGAATCCCCAGATTCCTCAGGAATCATTCAGAGGATACCTGGCTCAAAACCTAAGATCCATGGAGGTCAGGTTGGCAACACTCTGTTGCCCTGGTGACTGAGACGGTGCCTTCTTTCCAGATGATCAATGAAAGGAAAACCGAAATTTAAAAATTATTATAAATAGGGACTTGCAGACCACTGAGAATATATCAGCAGACTCTTGTTTAAGAAACCATCCTAGCTTATCTTAATGAGTATTCCGTCACTAAGTGTTTTAAACTATAGTTTGTTATTTAGCCTGGGTCTCCAGTTCCACATGCTACATTGACAGGTGCAAGGAAGAGGGGATGTTTTGTCCTTCTGTAACTACCACACCTTTCCTCCTCCACCTCCCCAGTCTGCAGAGCCAGCAATATAAACTAGCCAATTCAGGAACTCTAAGCCTCTTCTGATTTCAACATCTTTATCTCTTTAAAATCATCTTTCCTCTTCTAGGTAAATAATCAACCCTCCAACCCCTCCACTTCCCCATGTTTGCCATCTGGGAGTGCCTGAGGGGGAGCCTCTGGTGGCCTTGTGGCTGCAGGGCCATCTGAGGGCTGAGATCTGTCCTTGCAGGTCTTCTTAGTGATGGGGCCCCTGTTCATGAAGTTGTTCCCGCCCTGCTATCATCCTAAGGCCTGAGAACCTGTGGTCTCTTCCCTGTGTACAAGGTCAGAACCTGGTCCTTCTCCCTCGGGCCCCATCGTGGCTGTTACTCTCATTCCCCACCAGACCCAGGGCCCTGACTGTCTAGCCCCAAGGCAGCCCTTCCCTCCCACCGTAGGAGTCCCTGGGAAGCTCACCTTCCAGCACCACCCACAGTCTTCCATAAGCCCGCTTCTGGATATTCTCTGCTTCACACAGGAGCTTGGGGGACCCGGAGCCCTTCAGGTCTTCCTCTGAAGCCTTTCCTCAGGGTCTGAGTCAACTCTGCTATAGCTGCCCCAAATTATTAGGGGCGAAAGGGCCAGAGACCACAGACAGCCTATGAGGCTCCTCCTCCCTGAATCCCAACCAAGGAACAAGCAAAATCCAGCGTTTGAACTTTAGGGAACCTCAGCCTCTAGAAACCTCTGCTGTCTCTCCATAAAATCTGGACCATGCGGTCACCATGTTAAAGAGGTGAGCTGAACAATGACCCATGATCTGTTCGTTCTGGATCTATACTCTTTTCTCTAGGGTAAAATGCTTAGGCTTAGCTAAGAAAATGAAGAGGCAAGGGAATGCAGTTTTAGTGGGAACTGAAAAACATGAGTTTCTTGTTTTCAAAATAATGTCCCCTTCTACAGACCAATGCCAATCTGTAAAGTGGGGGCATTGAGACAAAGCACCAGCAGGCAGAAAATTCTGATTTTCAACCAATTATGGAAAATATTTTCTGCCCAGATACACATATTGCTGACAGTTACCCAGCTTGATTTTTTTCTTTTTCCTGTCACAAAAGTTTCTTAGAATCTCCACTGTCTTTATAATGCTCTTGGTAATCTGTTTGAGTCACTGCCCAACACTTTCATAGTCAAGGTTCCTTTGAAGTACAAAGAGAACATTCTTCAGGCTGGAGATTCTGCAGATCCTCATCTTCTCTACATGCTGGGTCCAGGTTCCCAACAGACCCTGGAAAACAACTGCCCTTCTCCCTCTTCCTCTGAATTCAGCTGGAAGTCTGCCATCCTGTAATCAAGTAACATGTATTTATCTATTGTTGTCTCACCAGGAAGTAAATTGTGTGTTCTTTTCAATGTTTCTTAGCCCTTTGGGGGCATAGGTGCCAGTGAAAATCTAATGAAAGCCAGGACCCCTCCCCCTAGAAAAGTGTGTGTTTAAATCGAAGTCTGCACACAGTATCAAAGATCCACAGAGGCCAACCACAGACCCCCATTAGCTAAGACCCCAACTGAACGTCTACTGCCCAGCTCCCGTGGAGACTGACATGAAAATCAGTATGTAGGGAAAGCGTGTAAGTTTATAACATGAAGTAGGGATGGCTTGATCCTTTGTAGGATCCATTTCTTTGAAGATATATTTGTTGATGTACTTGATAAATATTACAGGGCCAAATATTACTTAGTAAGCTTTGAAGCTGTGGCGGCTTTGATAAGGATGCTTCCATCTCTGTTCGTGGTATCACCTCTCCTGGTGTCGGATCCTAGTGCATATGCCTACAGTGTTTATTGAACTCCAGGGCCATCATTTAGCATTCGTACAATTCTCAACACTCAGATAAAACTTGACATATAAATCCTGATCATCTCTAGGAGTTCATTCTTGTAGAGTTCACTCAGCTGTCACCTTTTCTTCTTTCTCTCCCGACAACATTCATCCAACCAACCAGGTGAGGGTTCCCCATGATCCCATCAAATGCTCATGTGTGTGCCTTGCACACAGTGTGTCAAGATGGTGTCTCTCCATCACACTGTGAATGCCGCCAGAGCAGGAGGGTTGTCACTCCCACCTGTGAGCTCCAGTGGTCAGCACAGGCCCAGCACATAGTAGGCACTCAGTGCATGTTCGCTGACTATGGACTGAATCACCATTGACCCAAGTCTTCAAAGGTTCTTAGAAGGTAAAGAAAGAGGCCAAAGCTAAAGAAAGCAAAGTAGGAGTTAAGATGAATTGATATTTCAGTGTGTTCAATCTGTTGAGTGAGGTGATAAGAGAAGGTTCCCAAGTGTGGGTCTGTGGCCAGTTGCTGACTTTCGGGCGAGTTTAATGTGCAGACACATGGTGGCAGTGAGACCATCTGGTAGACAAGCTCAGCGACTTAGGCTCATCCTTAACCCTCTGCAGTCTGACCCAGGCCCATTTTCTCCTCACTTGTAAGCCCTGCACTGTCCCATTTCTGGGCCTTATTGTTCTAGCTACACCAAGCAGTCTCATGGACCCTGGGTCTTACTGGTCCTGCTGTTTCCTCATCAAGAAGGTCTGGCCCCATGTCTACATATTAAAACTTTGCTCATCTTTCAAGAGTCTGTTCAGAGGTCATTCTTCCCATTGAGATTCCCTGTGTCCCCAGACAAAAGAATCCTCCTTCTCTCAAGCATGCTGGGAGCACAGATCACCTCTTGTAAGACCCTCATCACGGATTCTTGCTCAGGACCAGAGAAACAGTCATTTCCAGTGGACTCTCTTTTATCAACCTAGGAGCTCTTCTTTTTCACTTCTGTGTCATCTGTTTCCTTCGACTGACCTTTATATAGACAACTGCCTTTAACATTTGTCCAGTTACAATGGTGTCAAGTAAATTTGATGCACAAACATCATAAAGGATCAAAGAATCTCTCTCATATTTTTTTAGCACAAGATGGTCCAGATTCTTGAGACAAAATGTTACATATGAAGTCCTTCCTGTTGAATGACGAATTAAATGAAAATACCATATTTCCTTTTGTCCTTATAAATAGTTTACTCTTGAGTTTGAGAAAACTCACCTTCATCTTGTAGTCTGAGACTTTACTTATACAATCAACTTACTGTCATTGTTAGAGTCTAAAGAGTTGTTCTCCTTCTCTTTGAGTTCATCTTCTGAGTCATCTAATAATTGTGAAATGTTATTCTCTGTCACTTTTCTTCTCTTTGCGAATATGAAAAATTCTAAATTCTCAACTGTATGCAATGAGCTAAAAGCAGACTCAAAATAAATGATGATTTATTTCATTACTGAATCATCCCTCCAGGCCATTTCATTCTTCTGTTTTATTACTTTGGTCTCTTTTAGCATAATTGGGAATAATTGATGAGTAATAATGAAAGATAATTCCCAGGATGATGAAAGAGCAAGATATTTCAAAAGATAGGAGAAATAAGATCACAAAGATGTCATCGTGCATCATAGATTTATGAAAGGGTCCAATGAACCCACATAGTAATTACAAAATAGAATGAGTTTTATTTTATTTTTAAAAAATAAGTAAATTTTCTCTGTGTTCTTTGGAAACCCTTCAAGAAGGAGTGAAAGCAATGAAATATCAAGCCTTTTAAATAGACAGAGCAACTCAAAGAGGAAACTCAAAAACTAAAGTTGGGTCTAATGGACCCTAATGGTATACTGAGAGTTATCGTGTTAAAATTCCATACACGTCTGTCCAACTTAAAGTTAAGGATAGATTGAGAGTCACCATCTCCCTGTCTTCCTGAAGTTTCCCAGGCCAAGTCAGGGATCTACTCCTATAAGAAACTTCGGAGGTGTTCACCAAATGGAATAGTAGGAGCCAAAGGTGTCATTATTAAGCTGGGACTGTAATTATCAAGGGAATGCCATACATTATTGCCTACCTAAGTGCAAGGACCTCACACCATCTCAAAATCTTTGCCCTTAACCTATAATACCATTCATCTGCTCTCTCCCTTTTAGCTGGGTAACTGCTATGCTTTAAACAGCACTTCCACTTTGAACACTTCCACAAGGAAGCTTTCCCAAACTTTCAGGCCTGCCGTTAACTGCCCCTTAATGGGCTATTAGAACTACCATGTCACCTCCACCTGAGGGCTGCCAACCAGGTGTGCTCAGCCTTGTACCATCAGCACAAGGCGGGGACTCAGTAAGCACCTTGTGAATGAAAAACAATGAATTCAAACATGTTTCTGAGTACAGATGCTCCCCTGCCTGACCCCTGGAACAGAGTGTTAAGGTGCACATGTTTGAGAAAGTAAAAGTGAAAAATAAAAGCTCACATGTAGAGACAGTAGATCAAGTTAAGAGAGCTTGGTTTTCCTGGACTGTCCTTTCCTGGGGTTGACTAGGAACAAACAAATCTGACTGTGGCAGAGGAGTCCTCAGCTCATGCTTCCGGCTTGCATTTAGGTGTCGGGTGATTTGTCAGAGACTGACCTCAGTAATGAACCTCAGCACCCTCGGACCAGCGTGGCCACCACCGAGGAGAAACTGAGAAACAGGCTGTATGAGTTAGCAATGAAAATGAGTGAGAAGGAGACGTCTTCGGGAGAAGATCAGGAGTCAGAGCCCAAGATGGAGTCTGAGAACCACAAGGAAAGTCTGTCCTCTGAAGACAACAGCCAGGGCGTCCAGGAAGAGCTGAAGAAGGTAAGGGCTATGAAGGCAGCTCCATGTGTGCAGCAGGGGGGTGGGGAGGTGGGCAGAGGAAGTTCTGTATTTGCACAGAGTTGTGCTGGGCTCCCCATGAGCTGTCTCTCAAATGCCCATCCCATGCATGCAGGAGAGCCCCAGAAACTCCTGCTGATTCAAGCTAAGTGGTTCAATCCAGGAAAGGGCCCCGCGGGTCCCAGGCCTCCGAGATCTGTCCTGTCCTTCTACTAACTATCCTTCCTAGTCTATACTGGGAACTACCCTTCAAGCCTATAATTAATGCTCACAGTCTCTCTTGCTGGTAAAGGGCCATGCTACTTCTTCCTTCCCCCACCCTTTCCCAGAGGAACTTTGCCTGTGGGTTGAGAGCATCTCACCATCCCCCTTTTAGTCAACAGCAATGTTTCAGACCATGATCTTTGTGCTAAATGTGGCCTGTTATGTCATTTATCCCTGCAGTTTGCATATTTGGGCTTGTCTTAGCCTCAAAATCATTTTCCAAACAAGCCTTATTTGGAATCCTGGTGTTTAAAATAGGTAAAAGCCCCCAAAACCCAACCATTTGATCTCCAGTCCCAAACCACCCCCCTAACTACCCAAGGGCATTGCTAGGAAACCACAGAAGGAAGAACCCTCTGGCAGAAAGGGGGGGTCCTGGGCCCCTACCCCGCAATCAGTGCTCTACCCCCATTCTTTCCTCTACAGCTTCTCCAAGCACATCCCTGTAGACTTGGCCACTGGACAGTCAGGCTATCCCTACTGCTTCGAGTGGAAGAGAAGGAAGCTAACATTTGTTGAGTGCCTAGTGCTTTGCTTATGTTAATGAATTCATTTCATAAAAACCCTTTGAAGGTGATGCAGAGGCTTGTCCTGAAGGCACTTACGCAAGGCCCATAACTAGTCAGCTTCAGAACTGGGGCTGCATCCCAGACCTGCTTGGCCTCAAATCACAGGTCCCTTCTTTACTATGACGAGCTGTCTCTTCTGTAATCAGATAATGTCTTGCCTGGAAACATGTAGATTTCTTGGCACTTGTGGTAGTTTTTTCCCCTCTTCTGAGAGTACATTATATAAGCTAACAAGTTCCTGGTAGCGCACATGAGTGAGGGATGAGCTCCTTCATCTGCACAACAGCCAAGCTGGGGGAGGAGCCAGGCCAAGCCAGCAAGAGCACGGATATGGCAAGAGCCGGCTAAGAGCCAACTGGGGGCCCTCTCCCACCGCCGAGCCCCTGAGCCCTCCGACAGCTCAGACTCTGCATCTCATTCATTCCTGTCCCACCCTCCATAGCCATCGAATTCTCCTACTCCTCAGTCTGTCAGGTCCTCTGCCCAAGGATGTGCACACATCTGTCCCCTGCCACATCTGTAGGCTGGAGGCCGGAGCGTGGCCTTCACAGGCAACCCCTCCCTGGGATGTGGGCTCCAACCCATCACTTCCTCCGTGGTAATGGGCTCTGCTCCTCTCTGTTACTTGAACCAATATCCCATGACAGTCACATTTGTCTGCCAGAACTCAGAGCCAGATGGTAACTGAGGAATATCATGGTATTTCTTACAATGCCTCTGCATCCTACTGGCTTTGCTGCCTGATGGTCACAAGGCTCCCCACAGGCTTGCTGTTCTAGCAGCCCGCCAGGCCATGATGAGTCATGGACTCCCAGCCCCTGTCAGCCTGCAGGCCTCACCTTCTGGAAGCAGAGCAGCCAGTCTGCGCTGTGCTCTCTTGGGCAGAACGTGAACAGGGAAAGGAGGAGCCAGGGCAAGAAAAATCTAAGATAAGCCCCCATTCTGCCCCGTGCCCTCACTGAGCAAGAAACTAGGAGGGTTGCTTTTATTCAAGTTCCCAAATATGTCAGTTTCTCAAAATTTAAGTCTTCCCCTCGCCTACCATGAATCAGTGCATTAAAATATCCATCAGCTATCATTTATTGTATGTAAAAATCTGGGGAGCAAACTGAGAAAGATAATTAACATATATTTTCCTCATCAGGCATGGTTTACTCTGGGATGGGAACACAGAAATACAGGTTTATATCTTCACTATTATTTAGAAGCAAAAGGATATAGAGATAGGCTTCAAGATAAGACTGAATTCGAAATGCAACCATGCAATTTGCAAACTCTGCAAACTTTGGCTAGTGCTTAGAACAAGCCAAGGTGATTTCTTGCCTCCCGCTGGACCCTGTCCCCCAGCTGCTCTCTCTGTCCCTCCAGACCATGCATGACTACTCCAGTTCTTCCTCCACTCCACAGCCACAACTGCCCTGCAGTCCCTGAGCTTGCTGTCAGCACTGAGACAGGCCCACACCTGCTGTGTTTTTCAGCTGATCCCTGGGACTCAGCCCTGGGCCTCATGGTTGATTGCATAAACACATCTTGGCCTCATCTGTAAAATAAGGATAATCGTACTCCCTGATAGAGTTGTGAGGGTTGAATTTTACAGCATGGTGCTTAGCACATAGCAGAAGCCCAGCAAATACCAGATCCCCTATAAACCTCATGGCTGTGAGTTAACATCCATCTTCAGGTACTGAAGCAACGACTTAGTACCTATTTCCAGTTGACACCTGGCATGTCTAACATAGGTCTGTAACCACATCTGGGGTTTTGTCGTGCTAGGTAGAATATAAGTGGGAAGGCACTACATGAGAATGCCCCACGTTCCCATCTTCAGTATCAGAATAACTATGACTTCCCCTGTGGGCCAACCATGACTGATTTGTACAGCATGTGTGCACGTGCATGCGCACACACACACACACACATATGGCTGGCACACAGCATGGTTTGGGAGTGGAACTGGGCTTGTGTAATGATTTCAGAAGTGGTCAGTGCTCCCCAACCCCTTTACTCTAGCAATGCATACTGGCCCAAAGTCTAGCTGCCTGAAGACCCCTGATGCAGCAGGAGCTTTTCTTCCTCTGCAAAAGTCAGGCTGAAAGGGAGAGCAAGAACCCCAGCTGGGAGCAGCCCCAGCTGTTTGGCCTCTGTGGGCATGGTGACTCTGGGGCAGAGCTGCATACTGACTCCCCGAGTTCCCGGCACCCAACAGGATGAACAGTCCTCCTCGACTCCCTTCCCTCCCCTGCCCCCACGGACCCCTCCTCCACCTTCTCCACCACTATTTCCAAGGATCGCCTCCCACATGAACTAAATCCCTGTCTCACATCTGCTTCTGGGAAACCAGACTAAGTTGGTAACTAAACAGGAGAAATGCATGGTCCCCAGTTCACAAATCCTTCAGTGCTGTGTAGGCAGCGAAGAAATCCCAATGCCCAATTGGCTACTAATTGCCTTTGCCTTATTAAGAGGAGCTTTGCCTTATGCAGAGAGAGGTTTGCTCAGCCGTCACTGTCCCCCTGCCTCCCACACTGGCCCTGCTCTCTGGGAGCCAAAGCAGAGGAATGTGCATGTTCCCTCAGACACTGGATATCAGTGGCTGTTTACTGTCTTTAGTATGACAACCCACATAAGAACCGGGGCTTTAGAATCCTGCCCAGTGGCAGAAGAAGCATTTTATCTTGACTGGATTCAGTTCTTTGCTGTAGGCAAACTTGTCCTATAGGTGGCTCACTTTCTCTGGGGGTTGGAGGGTGGTACCTACCTTCTGAATTTTAACCAATGGAAGAACACGCTTGCAGAGCTAGGAGGAGCCCAGAAACCTCTTGGGTGCTGGATTCCCAAAGAATCATTTTGTCCTTGAAGTCATTTTATTCCATCAAAGCTTAGGGGTCAACCCCCTAAACCATGTGATCCTTAGAGCCCAGAAGTGAGCACCACCTCTACCACTGGGCAGATGGCCATGCCAATGGTTCTGGGAGAAAGTCCTGGCCAAAGCAATTCTTAGAAGGGTCTGCATCTAGGTATGCAAGGGCAGCATTCCTGAAGGAGCCAAGAATGGCCAAGAACTCCTGGCCTGAGTTTGGAGTCTACGTTCAGAGGCTGGATTTCCCACAAGCCCGTAATCTTCCCAGGCTTAGAGCACTGGTCCCCCAGGTCCCTTCTGGCTCCCAAATCCCCTGGTTCTAGAAATGTAACAGATTAGATTAATTTTTTTGTTTCCTGACCTAAGTATCCTTTATGACACTGTTTATATGACAAAAGATGTCCCATGTATCAAGCTCTTGGAATATGAATGTCTGTTGAAGGCCCAGATTAGTTAGTTCTTGCATTATAGTAAAATTTGTATAGCTGGTGTCCTGAAAGCATTTTATTTAAAGTGCCTTTGTTTATAACCATTAGAAGTCGCTGGATCATTGGGCTTTGCTTTCACAAGGGAGTCACAGACCAGCAGATACCTCCCATATGTATAGTTTCACGGAATAATTCTCATCATAAGTATTGAGAGCTCCCTAAATTATTATATGTCTTTCTTCCCAAACAAGAGATGAATTTATGCATCTTCTTCTGTCTGCTCATTTACTAACACTAAGGAACAGGGATACATAATCCCAGTCAGTGATCAAGGAGACAGATCTATTGACTATTCCAACATACCCAGAGCCTTTTGTTTCTGAATTTTAATGTGCTCATGAAAACCTTTTTGTTGATATCAGTGTTAACATTAAAGTCAACTGTATCTGTGTGTGTCTCACCCCTGTAAAATAACACACGTTCATGTAAGGATTCAGTGTCTTTCATCCCAGGTCACATTCTATTTCAGAGTGTCTTCATCTCTAGATGGTGCTAGAGAGAATAGAGTGTTAGGTACTGACTTGTATCTTACAAGTGATTGATCTCAGTAGGCCTATGCCTGTTGAAGAATTAACACCTCTTTTCTAACTCTCCATTTTTTTTCAAGATTTTATTTATTTATTTGACACACAGAGAACACAAGTAGGCAGAGAGGCAGGCAGAGAGAGAGGAGGAAGCAGGCTCCCTGTCGAGCAGAGAGCCTGATGCGGGGCTCAATCCCAATACCCTGGGATCATGCCCTGAGCCGAAGACAGAGGCTTTAACCCACTGAGCCACCCAGGCGCCCCTCTAACTCTCCATTTAACTGTTGCCTTGGATGGCAGGGGTGGGGGGGTGTGGGGAGGAAGCTTTAACTGTGCACTTAGAGCTGCAGCTCTTATCCATAGGGCTTGAACGGGTGAGGGGGGACAAAGAAATGTGGAGCAGGGGTATCCATAGGAGGTCTGAGAAAGCCTCAGAATCCCTGGTAAAGATGATAGAAGGGGGGCACCTGGGTGGCTCAGTGGGTTAAAGATGATAGAAGGTATTTCTCTCCTGAAGTCAGTCCGTAAAGACTGGAGGAGGTGACTGCTACTTCAAATGCAAAGATAGCTACACACAACTTACAGGAAAATGAAAAATCAAGGAAACATGACACCACCAAAGGATCACAATAATCTTCCAGTAACTGACCTCCCAAAATGGAGATCTGTGATTTACCTGATGAAGAATTCCAAATAGGTTTTTAAAGCAAGCTCAATGAGCTATGAGAAAACACAGAAAGTCAATTCAACAAAATTAAGAAATCAATGCATAAAACAAAATGAAAAGTTTAACAAAGAGGTAGAAATCAAAGGAGGAACCAAACAGAAATTCTGGAGCTGAGGAATACTGTGAATGAAATGAAAGGTACAATAGAGAGTATCAAGAGCAGAATGGATTGAGGAGAAGAAACAACATGTGAAGTAGGAGACAGTACCTTGGAAATTATGCAGCCAGAGGAGAACAAAAGAAAAATAATGAAAAAGAGTGAGGAGAGCCTGTGTGAACTATGGATACCATCAAGAGAAGCAATCTGAATTATTAGAGACCAAGAAGGAGAAGGAAGAGAGAACGGGACAGAAAGCTTGTTTTAAAAAAAAAATGATGAGGGCACCTGGGTGGCTCAGTGGGTTAAAGTCTCTGCCTTCGGCTCAGGTCATGATCTCAGGGTCCTGGGATTGAGTCCTGCATCAGGTTCTCTGCTCAGCGGAGAACCTGCTTCCTCCTCTCTCTCTTTCTGCCTGCCTCTCTGCCTACTTATGATCCCTGTCTGTCAAATAAACAAATAAAATCTTTAAAAAAAAAATGATGGTTGAGGGGTGACTCAGTTGGTTAAGCATCTGCCTTCAGCTCAGGTCATGATCTCGGGGTCCTGGGATCGAGCTCCATGTCAGGATCCCTGCTTGAAAATGGTGGGGAGTCTGCTTCCCCCTCTCCCTTTGCCCCTCCTTCCCATGCTCTCTCTTGCTCTCTCTCAGTCTCTGTCTCTCAAATAAATAAAATAATAATAATGGTTGAGAACTTCTGAGCAGAGGTTTGACCATCCAAAGCTTATGAGCTTCATGAAGCTCATAAGTCCCCAAAGAGGTTAAACTCAAAAATTTTTTTCTCCAAGACCCACCCATAATAAAACTAGCAAAAATGAAGGACAAAAAGAGGATCTTAAAAACAGCAAGAGGAAAGAAACTTATCACTTATAAAGGAATCTTCATAAGGCTATCAACAGATTTCTCAGCAGAAACCTTACAAGCCAAGACACAGTGGAATGACAGACTCAAAATGCTGAAAGAAAAAAATAAACCTGCCAACCAAGAATACTTTATCTGGCAAAGTTGTCCTTCAGAAATGAAGTACAGATGACCTCATTCATTCCCAGACACACAAAAGTTGAACAAGTTAAGCAACACTAGATCTGCCTTACAAGAAATGCTAAAGTTCTTCAAGCTGAAATGAGAATGAGCTAATTAATAATATGAAGGCATGAAAATATACAATGCACTGATAAAGGTAAATATATAGTCAAGTACAGAATACCCTAATACTGTAATACGGTAGTGTGTTAAGTACTTAATGCCAGTAAAAAGATTAAAGGACAAAAATATGAAAAATAACTATAGCTATAACAATTTGTTAATGATACAATATAAAAAGAGGTGAATTGTGACATCAAAAACATAAAGGGGGAGGGTAGAATGTAGTTTTGTATGCCACTGAAGTTGTTATCAGCATAAAATAGATCGTCATATCTATAAACTGTTTTGTGTAAATCTTATGATACAAGCAAAATCTACCATAGATACACAAAAGATAAAGACATGGGAGTCAAAGCATACCATTACAGAAAGTCATCAATCACAAGGAAGATGGCAAGAGAGGAAGAAAGGAACAAGAGAACAACAAAACAGCCAGAAACCAATTAATAAGATACATTAATTAGTCCTTACCTATGAATAGTTACTCTAAATGTAAATTGATTAAATTCACTAGTCAAGAGACATAGAGTAGCTGAAAGATTAAAAAACAAGACCCAACTATCCACTGCTTACAAAAGACTCACTTCT